AATCTACTCTACATATTCAAACCTTGTAGTCGATACCATTATTAGTACGCTGAACAACCACCATCTTTGCTGGCTTATTACGTGGCAGACGTGTCTGATCAACTGGGAGTTGGATGGCACTAGGCATAGCTTCGAGAACCCTGTTCAATTGTTCATCGTTATACTGCTGTCCATATTCTACTACTTTCTGATTGTACACAGTCGCCCACTCATTTTCATGACCAGAAAACTCGCCTCTGTCGAGTGCATTGTAAAAAAATATAAGGTTAAACCCGATATCATCATCAAATTCGAGATCAACGTCAGCGATTTGTACGAAAGCATCCCTTTTATGACTTTCTGGCATCGAGGAAGGCCACCTGAAGTTCTCGCCTACACGAGCTACAGAGATAGGTTAAGGAATAAACATCAAATAATTGCTACATGCATTTTCAAGCAATACCAAGAAATCTTTGCGCTTGACCAGGGTTTTTCTCATACAAGAGGAGAGTTTGAAGCGTTTCAGGGGGATTATCTTCAACTGTTCGAAATATCTCCATAACTTTAAACAGAATAAAAAGTCTAACGACATTGATCAAAATCAGTTATAAGTAACTTTCACGAATACGTATTTTTTCCACGTATTTATTCATTGAAAATCGTACCCAGCAAATGGAATCAAAATGGGCGAGAGTACAGTAATTGTACTAGTTATAACAAGAAAAGCAACTAACACGAAGGCGAATACTAGAAGAAATGAGAGAGAAGTAAAGCAAATCGATATGTGGTTAGACATCGGTACTAAAGACAGTCAATTCTGATAAAAGAAACTGTGTACAAAATAGTTGATGGTCATTGAAAATGGTTATGATCATCAAAAATTTTCCGGGTCCCGGTTTACTCGATAAAAGAAAATTTGTTACACGAGGGATTTCGAAAAATCCGAAACTTTTTTTTAAACATAAAAAGTTATTTCATAATAAACTTTTTATTTTATTAATTATACCACTTTTTACGTATTAAGTAAAGCTAAACTACATAATAAATATATATACTATGAAAGTTATATTAAATCATGTTAGAATTTAATTATTAACATTTTATCCTTACATTTATACAGTATAATTTTTTTTTTTTTTAATTTTTGAGTTTAATAATTCTTTCTAACTTATTATTAAAATCAATTTTTTAATAAATAATATGCTTTAAATGATCTTGTTTATTGTATTTTTATTTACTTGCATATTAAATTTTATTGATTTTTATCAAATACTTAAAAATATACTCAGTAAAATATAATTGTTATTAATAAATGGTTAAATTTTGAAAGTATTATTATTATTATTATTAATTGTTTTTTAATAAACTTTTTTACTAAATTTATTTAAATATTATAATCTTATATATAGACATTAATTTTTTTTTTTGTTCAACCTGCTGTCAGATTAGTTATGTGTGCTTTATTAAACATAATGTAGGCTATACTATTTACAGTGTCGCTAAAGCCAGAACGCTAACTAACTCACTCATCTTAGTTTATTATCAAACTCTAAGTGCAACTTTGGGAGTGATTTGTCGCTCCAT